ACTAATCTCCAAGAAAGATTCATGAAATTTTATCACCTAATTAATTTCCATATCTCTTTTTCTTATGTAATACGCAAAGGATCCGAAATCTTACATTCCATCATGGCTACATTCATTTAACAGGATTATTATTTAAAAAGAAAAATATGTAATGGATTTACTATATCTTTTACTATAATTAACTAATGTATGCTCCTTCCGTTCATTTTTAATTGTTATGGTCTCCTTTTTTAGAGTTAAATTATAAAAACTTTGACTAATATTTTACGACGTATTTTTTCATTATATTGATATAAAAAAATTACAATTTATAGTACTTTTCGTATAGTTTTTGAATATCAAAATTTTTTGTTTAAAATATCGAATTAATGTAATCTAATTTTACTTTGAAATTAGTCAAATTAACTTTTGAAAAGCGCAGCATAACAAATAAAAGTGGATGAGTATTTCATATTTAACAATTATTACAACCTTCTTGTAGGTTCTCATATAGGTGTTTAATTATTAAGATTTTCTTTAATGAACTGACATCAAATGTTTAATTAATTTTCTGTTTATAAAAGAGTATGTTTAAGGGGAAATCGAAAGGAGAATTCTTCCATTAAGTACTATTATAATGTAGACGGTTTAATATTGTCTACGATAAAAAGAATCAATCTAAGAGTCATGTTCGATTCATGTGTTTATTTGAGAGGTACTTTTAAGAAGTTTTAATATTAATGTGTCAACTGTCTAGTAAGAAGTATGGTGCATCATTGCCTACGTAATTGATCAAATTTTCATGATATATTCTTCTATCGACATAGTTCTTTGCCTCAAATTATGAAATAAAATAAAATATTTTGCCTATAATGATCAGGAAAGAAGAAATACGTAAGGGAAAAAATTGTAATCATGAGTATTGTTGAGGGGTCAAACTAAAAACATTAAATTTGCAAGAAGGCTAATAGAGATATGAAAATTAAAGGATTAAAAGTGATAAGATCTAAAAATTAAGGGACAAAAATGAAAAATAGAAAAGTAAAGGGAAGTGTGGAAAAATAATTACAAAAACCAAAGAACTGAAGATAGATATATAAAAAAAACTAAATGCAAATGTGGAAATAAAAAGTAAAGGATACTTGAGCAAAAGGCTCTGATACTGATTTTGAAACAATATAAAATGTAACAATAAAGTTTAAATTTTATGAACTGACGTAAAAAATAATAAATTATTTTGATAATAAATATTTTAACCACAACCACGAAAATACCATAATAATTTTTATTCACGCTATAAAGTGATTATATTTTTTGACATTTTTAATTCTTCCCCCTAAATTTCTAAACATTTTCATCAATTTTATTCTCAATATAATAGGGAAAAGAATAATTCCGACAATTTTCATATCCTCTTAAATTACGTATATGAAAAGAATATTTCTCAGACTCCCATAAATACGTCCCAATTCCCATAAAATACATATATGGCCAAATACGTTATTAAAAAAAACAGATATACGTATATAATTAGGTAAGTTATACCTTCTAAAATCCTTCCACATGTATACATATATGTATAGGATTACATTTTTTTTCCTTACTTTTCATTGGCCAGACTTTAACCTCATAATTTTCATAATTAGTTCCCTATTTCAATTACTTTACTTTTAAGATAAGAATACTCCTAAATGGTCAAATATATATATAATTATTTATAAAATGACCTTTAAGTAATTTGATTAATTATTATGTTTGAATAAATTTAACTTATATGAGTCTTTGATTTAAACATAATTTTAAAAACTTGCAATAACAAACTCAAAACATCATAGACGTCGACAACTCAATAATAACGTCTATTATATATGTCTAAACGACAACTTAATATCCAACTTAAATTTTGAAAAATAATTTAGAGAATAAGTAATTAATATTATTGAGGGTAAACATGAAAAAAAAAAAAAAATCTTAATGAATTTAAGTTATATCCACTGATAATATTAAAAAAAATTATACACGAATGATATCAATCTCGCCTTTTCTTGATTTAATTTTCATTGACTGAACATTAAGTATATATGATCGATCGAAGTTTTTGACCGCATGGAATTGTATGCGACAGGAGATATTGGACGTGAAATATGCAAAGCATGTGGAGACAAGGTTGTCAAAGAACAAAATCAGTTGCAAACTAATATGACGCCTGCATATGTTTGTGTAAATATTAGATGGTGGAAGGAAGATTTCTCTGACAAAAGAGTTGAAGCCAACCCACTTAAATGGTTACATGGATGGAATCCTATTGACCACTTGAGAAAAGCTGTAGGGTTTTTGGACACTTGTATTACTGAACTAATTGTCTTGAAAGTTCAATTTCTATACACTGATATTGTAAAAAAAGAAAAAGGAAATATTGTACTATCAAGACATCTGAAACATAGTAATGGTTTCTTCGCCTTTTGGATGACCTTGGAAATGCTGAGGTAAAAAGATAGTAATGGTTTCCAATTTGAAATTAGTGTTTTTTCTACTTTTCACGCACCCCACTCCAAAGAGATCAACAGTGGTTCTTCACTTACCTCCAATTAATTTGAATTTCGTAATACTGATTATTAAGTGTAATGGCTTATGCAGGATTTATGTCACTTGTAGCCTATATTGTCACAATTCAACTTACAAGGTAGTTTGAGTGTAAATGTCTAGGATTATATAAGTTTTGGCGCTTTACTAAACAACAACATACCCAGTAATTCCACAAGTGGGGTAGGGAAACCGTAAGATATGTACAAACCTTGCATCTACTTTTACGGGATAGAGAAGTTGTTTTCGATACACTTAATATTTGCTCTTGTTATTCTACAAAGTGGTCAAAAATGCTCATGTTCAGAAAATGAGTATAGCAGAGATGAGGATGCTTAGATGGATCATGGATGTGCGGGTATATTAGGAGAGAGATGATTAAGAATGAAGTTATACGACGCAAGGTGGGAATGGCCTCCGTGGAAGACAAGATGAGGAAAGTGAGGCTGAGGTGGTTCGGCATGTGAAGAGGATGTGCACATGAGAGGTAGGCTATAGCAGAAACTAGGAGAGGTAGAGGTAGGCCAAAGAATAACAGGGAGGAGAGGTGATTAGACAGGATATGACACAACTTCAACTTATTGAGGACATGACCCTAGATATAGGAAGATGTGAAAGTGGCAAATTATGGTAGAAGTAGTAGATAGCCAAGTGTTGTCGCCCTTTAGATGGGAGAGACAGGGGGCTAGGGCTAGCCCATCTTCTCACAGCCTTATTAGTAGTAGTATTTAGTAATCATGTATTTTCTTATCCTTCAAGGTGTTAAGGTGTTACTATGTGTTAATTCATTTGTTTTATATCTTGATATTTTGTTTTCATATTTTTCGTGCAACCATACTTCAAATATCATCTCTTTGGATCTGAGGGACTATAAGAAAAGTTTCTCAGCCCCGCAAAGGTAGGGTATACACATATATGAGGGAAATCTTTTGGCAAGGGGTGTCCCTTTTTTTTTGTTGATGAAGAGGGGGGGGGGGGTCGCTTTCTAATGGTTGTCTCTGCTAGTACTGATTAAGTGGAGGTGTCTCACCAACTGAGTTGGTGATGGGTTAACCATCATCCAACTTTTGTTCTAATACGTAGTTCTAATATTTGGTAGGATGAGCATCAAAAAGGGAATGATGGATCATAAGTAGAGTACTTGATGAAAGAAGAGCAGGGCTTAACTAATGAAGATGCAAGGCAACATGTTCTGGACATGGTTTCAAACACATGGAAAGATGTCAATAAACAGTGCCTCTCACCAAGTGCAATTCCATTGTCCTTTCAAAAGGCTTGTCTCAACGTGGCCAGAATGGTTCCTATGATGTACATTTATGATGAGAATCATTGCCTTCCTGTCCTAGAAGAGCATATCAAGTCAATTTTTTGCAACACAGATAGAGACTCACGATTGAGCACATCATTGAGTTCTATGGCTCCATGAAAAATCTTACCTATAGGAGTACCTATTTCCCTCAAGCATAACACGAATAATTGACCCTATCATTTGGTTTTCACTTAAGTTAGTTTATTCACATCAATAATGCTTAGCATATGTACTCTTCTCCATTCTAATAAGTGCTATAAATCTATTTTTTAAGTTAGTTTTAAAAAAGTAGTAGAATCTTAAGTTCTTCATGTTTTAAAACAATAGAATTCTCATATATGTTCATGCTGAAAATGTGAATTGATGGAGAGCAATACACAGATTTTTTCATGACAAATTAAAAAGTATTACTCCTGCCATTTCATTTTTAAGATATTAATTAAGAATAAAAAAGGGTACTACTTTGGGTATTAATATAAAGGATCATTTTTATGAGTTCCTTCTCCACCACTGGCAAGTTATAGAAAAGAATAAACACGAAAAGATCATAAGTTTATTTCGTCGCATTGACGTTAACGATGACAATGTAAGATCTACAATGAGATTTGAGTTTTATATTTGCTGAAAATAGCATGACCAACCCGTCACATAACTGCAGGTTTGACTTGTTGTACTTTAATGACCCATTTTGGAACAATGTGACGTGATGCAGCAAAAGCCTTGCTTATTTTTGCTTAATATGAGTTTTGATGAAGTATTAATAACTGGTGATTATCGCAATTCGCAGCAAGCAATTTTATGCAATGCACATTAATTAGAGGAAGCAAAGAGGTCTACCACTGGAAATTGCTAGATATTTTGAAGAATGAATCTAAAACCCAGAATGAGATTCTTTAAATAGCTTAATTTCATTAGACTACAAAATTCATTATGATTTATGATATACTAGTAATTTGGTAGCTAATATGTAGAAATGGAACTAAATTGCTATAAGCAAAATATTTATACGTTCAACCGAAGCATTCCACAAGCCTTGAAGGGTAATTCATAAAACTCACAAACAAATCCTAAAAACATAGTTCAGCAGAAACAGTAGTGCAAGTAAACTACCGCATAAAATGTGTAACTATTAAAGAGAAGGCAGCGAAAGTTTATACCGGGATCGGGGTCGGGAGTGGAATAGCTTATATGATTTGGCCAAGTTCACCAGCTCCTGTGCATCTTCAAGCTTGGAATGCTCAGCCAAGACATTGACTACCCTCTGCATTGTTGCATTATAAATAGCAACTTTTGAAGCAATAGCTTTCTTACACAATTCAAGCGCAAAATCAAGATTATCCTTGTCACAAGCAAAAGAAATGAGCATCTCAAATGTTGCATTATCCGGATAACGTCCATTTTCCACCATTTTCACATACCATCTTCTTGCCTCTTCCCAGTTCCTATCATCCACATACATTTTGATCATAATGTTATAACTGAAAGCTTTTGGGATGATGTCTTTCTTCCCCATCTCCTCAAACAGTTCAATCGCCTCGCTAACCTGGTTATTAGCAACCAATCCTTGTAATCTAACGGTGTAACTCCCCAAGTCAGCATCAACATTCTTCTTTTGCATCAATACCCACAAATCTTCGGCTTCAGAAAACTTTTTACTTTCATAATATGCGTTCGAAAGCGTATTGAAAGTCACTTTATCAGGTATAATTCCGTGATTTTCCATCTCATCCATTACACTGAGAGAAGAATCCAAAGAACCAGCTTTCCATAATGCCTTAATCAAAGTATTATAAGACACTACATCAGGCTCTATCGATAGCTCCCCAGGTAATTCACGAAACAAATCTCTGATTATATCGTACTTCTCTGCCCTTGAGTAGGCCTCCAAAAGGGCATTGAAAGAAAAGACTGTTCGTTGACATTTTAGGTTCGGCATTTCGTCGAACAGTTTACGGGCATGTTCATGCATTTTTGCTGTACCATATAAGAGTATGAGACGGCAGACAAAGAACTCATTGCTAATTTCTGGGTATTGTTTTTGGTGCTCAAAAATGTCTTCGATAGCGGAAGAATTGAATTCAAGGCGGCGAATAGCGGTCGTATAGTTGGTGCAACGGTTTCGGAATTCAGGAGATTCAGATGATTTTTTGAAGTTGTCAACAATGGTTTGAAGTTTATGTTTTTCAGGAAGTTTGGATGTGGGTTTGGTGGAAGTTGTTTGGGGCTGTTCAGTTTTCAGCTTTACACTGACTTTGTGTTTCCCGGTGAAGATTCCGTGAAGCCGGCGATAAACGGAAGAAGAAGAAGACATGTGAAGCGGCGTTGAATTGGAGTTTCGTAACTGAGGTTAATCCATTTAGGAAATAGGCCTGCTCCTTTTCAAAGCCCGTTTAGAATTACCCAATATGAAATTTGAATGTTTTAAATTATATTTCTTTCTCAGAGACATAAAATATGTGAAAATTATAAATATTTGTGACTACGTGTTATTATAAACTTTCGTACACATAATTTTACAAAGGTCCACTAGTCACAATGATAACTAGCCAAGTTTTTTTTTTCAAAGATATTCCTTAGGTATGATATGTCAAATTTCTTCGTGTTTGAGCATGAAATATTTTTTTGCAAAATGTAAATTTTATGTGTTAAATTTTACATTTAAAACAATTGACAACTCAATTTGGAATTTGAAATCTTGGCTTTTTAATTGGAGTTAATTTTTTTATTTTTTTTGCGGATTTCATAAATAAACGTTGACTTAAAATTAAAACTTGAAATTGAAATCCCAAATTTATAGCCTATGTTGCGTGTTTCTTTTGCATCAATGAACACTATATGTAAGTCTCTCTTCCCCTTCCTATACTGCTCCATCAACTCCCTACGAGATGAATGATTTCTATAATTGATCATCCCGACATGAATTTAAAAATGAAAACTAAAAAACCTAGGTAGTGGTCATTTGAAATTAGAACACTTGGTAAAACTCGCTATTTAGGTGATTTCTTCTCTTTTTTTATAACTGTGTTGTACCAGACTAATTAATGCACACCTTAATTAATTCTACCAAAGGCTTGATCATCTCAAAATTCTGGGTACACCAACGATCCAAATACCTTTTCCCTTCTAAATGGCCTAAAACTACCTTGGGGTATAACAATAAAATCGTTGCAACTGCTTCTCACATACTTGGCATTCTCATGTGAGACTCTGTAGATTATGCAAACATTAATAATCTCTAGATACATAAATGCAAGCATCTAATTTATACAAGTCCAGCACCAGTATCCTTTAAAAATGTTTAGATCCTACAATTTGATTGAATGTTAACAGTCAAAATGTAACCTAAATGCAACAAGCTAAATTTTGTATAGAGCATTCCTCAAACCCTTCATCACTTCAGCTCAAGTAAACGATCAAACATAGCTGAAAGAAACTAGCTATGCAAAGGCAAGGAAAGCTCATACGGAAAGCTCTTATAAGACTCAGCCAACTTAACCAGTTCTCTCGCATTTTCAATCTTAGAATGCTCAACCAAACAATTGACAACCCTCTGCATTATTGTATTATGAATAGCTTTGCGTGAATTCATTGCTTTCTTGCACAAATCCAAAGCAAAATCAATTTTTTTGGCGCTACAAGCAAAACTAATAAGTATCGTTAATGTTGAAACATCCGGAAGACATCCGTTTTGCGTCATCTTATCATACCACATGTTGACCTCCTCCAGATTCCCCTTAATAACATACATTTTTATCATAGCACTGTAACTGAAATTATCCGGTTTGAAACCCTTGTTAACGATCTCCTCGAAGAACTGAATCGCCTTTGAAACCTCCTTAGCTTTAACCAAACTAGTTAATTTAATATTGTAACTGCAAAGATCAGGGATAATATTTCTCTTTTCCATCATAGCCCACAAACTTTCAGCTTCAGAAAACCTTTTGCTTTCATGAAAGGCTTTTAATAACGTGTTACAAGTGACAATATTTGGCTTAATCCCATGATTTTCAATCTCATCCATCAAATACACAGCAGAATCCAACAAACCAGCCCTGCACAATGCCTTAATCCCAGTGTTATACGACACCAGATCAGGCTCAATTGACAGTTTCGGGGGCAATTCGCGAAACAAGCCGCCAATTTTATCATATTTCTCTGATTTAAGATATGCTTCCAGTAGGGCATTGAAGGAAAAGACAGTGCGCGGACAATTTAGTTGAGGCATTTCGTCGAACAGCTTACGTGCATGATGATCCATTTTCGCTTTCCCATAAAGAAGAATAAGACGGGCAACAAAGGCTTCGTTACGAATATCAGGATAGTTTTTCTGATGTTCTATGATATCTATAATGCCGGATTTGTGTTTGGCTTCGGTAAGTTGGTGAGCGGTGATTTCATATTGGACGCGTTTCAGTCGGAATTTGGGGCATTCCGATGATTTTTTGAAAGAGTCTACAATTGCTTGGGCAAGATTGGTGGGTCTTGAAGAAGTAATGGGCTGATTTATAGCTCTGTCATTTCCGGTGAAGATGCCTTTCACACGGCGGAGAGGTGAAGAAGTAGACATTTAATTGCTTATTTTGGCGCTGAGCAGCACTTTCTAAATGAGAGAAATAGATATATATATAATTCCATATTAGATACCCCATTTTTATATTTAATATAAAAAAAAAATCAGTTATATCCCTAATGTTTGTTATTTGGTTTATATATGGCCTTTGTTAATCTGTCACATAATTGCTGAAAGAACCTGGTTATTTCGTTCAATAGATTGCAACAACTCAACAAAGAGCCTTATTCTATGGTGTTATGTTACAAAGGACTTATGTGATACTTCCTAAGAAGTAAAAGGCTCCTATGGTTTTTTTCCATACCAGCATTATAAGTTGTTGCAGCACACTTGTATAGTTGTATTTAATTTCTCTTTTTTTGACAAGACGGACAGTGTGCGTTTACAGCGTACTGCTACTTTTGTTTGTGATATAAGTGTGGAAAAAATATTTATACAATTAAAATAATTTATCAGTCTTATCTCCGATTATTTTTTAAATAAAACTACGTACACATCATTTTTCCTAGACTCAAACTACACTAAGTATCTTGTTGTACCATGATTTGGTTTTTGACTGGTTAAAGTACAAAACACATACTCGGAATACCATAAACTCTTTCTAGTGCTTTAATGAAGTTGTACTTTAAAAGAAATTATTCCTGGCAGGTGTAAAAAAAAGTGAAAGGAGAATAAAATTCCTGCTTAAAGCAGCTCTGGTCACTCATTTGTACTTTACAATGCCAGTAACAAACCACAAAGTAGTCACAAACATAACTAACAAGAACATTACCCCACTTCTATTCTTCATTCTGTTTAATTCTTTTTTCCCGGGTGGCTGTTACTCTTTAACCCTATGGCCTATTACGAGTCCTCATAACGTTGGAGGGTTTTAGTAAGACGACAACTAGGCGTAAATAATCAAACTATGAGGATACATAACCGATTTCAACTATTTTGGAATGGAGGCATAGTTGGTTGGCACTATATATATCACCGTTCCCATTCAATCATTGTTATGTTATATGCATACTACTTAGTATGTAAACATAAAAAGTACTTGTTCAACTTAGTCCCAAACAAGTTAAACTTGGGGTATATGAATCTTTACTGACCATATTCCCCGTTTAAATTCATCTCTTTCGGGATAACACTAGTGAAAAGTGTAATTAGACCAAAACTGAAAAGGGTTGTAGTGTCTGAACCTACAAAACTCTACACATACACTCTCTCTCTTTCTCATGCCAAAAATGAGTCCTTCCAAAACACCCCAAGTACATTGTGATCAATTAGGAAATGCCCAACAAACTACAACAAGAAGATTCCCACAACCAAGAAATGTTTCTGTTGTGAGGAGCCCCTATATAAACCTATTCTCTGCCTACAACAAAAAACCAGTGCAGTACTGCCTCTTCTTTTAGCTGCACTCAACATATTAATCATTAGCACCAATACTCTCCATCTATAGATTTCCTTTCTAATTTAGGAATCCATTTTAACTTACTGTAACTATTCTCTTTTAAATGGTAGTAATTAGGTGTGCTAAAATGGAATCCCCCAACACCACATTTGATAATTCACACAACTCTGAAGAAAGGGAAGTAGGAAGAAGAACAGATAAAAGGAAGCAAATTGATGGTGAAGTTAAAGAATACAAATCCAAGAACCTTAAGGCTGAGAGAAATAGGCGTCAAAAACTTAGCGAAAGGCTTCTTCAATTACGCTCATTGGTCCCAAACATAACAAATGCAATGAATCAAAACCCTTCATTCTTTACATAATTTCATAAAGAACGAATTTTTAACCTTTTTTTTCTAAAAAAGTTCAAATTCTTGTCTGATTTCAGATGACTAAAGAAACCATAATCACTGATGCCATCACTTACATTAGGGAGCTACAAATGAATGTGGACAACCTAAGTGAGCAGCTTCTTGAAATGGAGGCAACTCATGGGGAGGAACCGGAGACAAAAAATGAAGAGATTATTGATACTGCAGAGGAGATGGGTAAATGGGGCATAGAGGTAGGTAACTTTATGTATAAAACCAAAGTTTCAATCTTTGATATTCTTGAATTAAAAGGACAGTAAAACAACTTTTGTCTTTCTTTCTAAAACAGCCTGAAGTTCAAGTGGCTCACATTGGCCCAACTAAGCTTTGGATAAAAATAGTCTGCCAAAAGAAAAGAGGTGGATTAACTAAACTGATGGAGGCAATGAATGTTCTTGGATTTGATATTAATGACACCAGTGCCACTGCCTCTAAAGGAGCTATTCTTATTACTACATCTGTGGAGGTAGGAGAAACATATGTTAAAAAAGTGAGGTTTTTAGTAGCGATAAAAAAACTATTGCCCGAAGATATCAAGATTTGTAATAGTACAAAAAGGAGATCTTGCTTAGCACCTTGTACTGTGTGTGCTGCAATATAACAACATACACAATTTGTTAATCTTTCTATGTGTTTCAGGTGGTTCGAGGTGGACTAACTGAGGCTAATCGAATCAGAGAGATCTTGCTGGAGATCATCCACGGAATCTACTAGCACCAGCATGAAATCCCCTAATAACTAAAGTCTCATTGGAGAAATGCCAGAGTACCTCTAATTTTTAGTTATGGTGTCAAAAAAGGATTCAATCATGTTTTCGAAATATTGTATCCAAAAAAGAGCTCGTGTGAGCTCTTGTTTTTTCTTTCAAAATATTGATGAAGCAACATATCATATGTTACTAATTACTTTCTCCTATATTAATTCTATAGCATTTCATGCAGTCACGTTTGACTTAATTCAACTGAGGCAAACTTTGAAATAGAATATACTTTTTAACTTGAAGTTTCCATGGTGGGATCCAGGCTCCAAACTTTTTGGCTTCTCTATATGAAAAACATTGAATAAATAACATTTTTGGTCCCATCCCATCCAGCTGAAGAAACAGCTAAATAATAAAAGCCAGCACATTAAGTGTCCTTTGTGTTTGAATAAGATATTGAACAAACACCAATATTAGACTTGTAATATAGTGAAATTTATGACATTTGTTTCACTGTCTTTCTTGATTTCTTCTCTGTTCTTTGACCAATGAACAGCCGAAAATAAACCTGCCTCAAGCATCACCTTCCCTTGTTAAAACTTTCTTTAACAGGTCCAAGGATCCAAATAATAAAAGACTACTTGAAAAACCAAATCAGACGTCAAATCATCAAAATTTAAGACCATGGGTAGTATACCTACCTTCTTATAATATTAACACGAAAAAGACTCTCTCAAGTCTATATTAATAGGACTAAACGCGCACACAATTGTAGCAATATTCATATTCTCTATGGCTAGGCTTAGTTTTCTCCTCATTTGCCTAGTTTTAGCTCAGGTTAGCTTGCTTATGCAAAATGCTAACGCGCTTAGAAAACTAGACATCTTAACAGTAGTCCCAAGTCCTGCGCCGTTTGAAGGAGGAATGAACAGAGGAAGAGGTGATCAAGCTCCAGCAGTTACACATATAAGGACTCATCATTCTTTCAACAAGTCCATGGCTGGTGGAGACTTGATCCTTGGCGGCTTCGCCACTGCTCTTATTGCTTCCATTTTTTGTTACATTCGAGTCACACGAAAAAGAAACCAACATAGTCAGGGATGAGGCAATTTTGTACTTCTTTTAGTTTCCAATTCAAATATATACACAGGATTCAAGATTTTGCTCATTTTAATTAGATGGCTGGATAATGAAATTATATACATTCTAGCTAGTAGCATTTAAATCTCATTCGACATTCTCTCATGTCCACGAATTTTTCTTAACATAAAATAATTAAGTTTGGATAAACTCGTAGCTCCTTCATTAGATCCGCCCTTATTAAGGCCAAGGGACAAAAAAGTCTTTAACCACCAGCAAAGGATACAAAACTTCAATAATAGAAAATGTGTATACTCCATTGTAAATAGAGGACAAAAATTAGGAAGCTGAAAAGAGAGTGCAGAACAAACTTAACACCATTCTAACCACCTACATTATTATCAATCAATAGCATATATAAACCTGATTTAAGGGAGGATCTTTTCTTCAAGAAGCTTAATATTAACCCATTGTGATAATTACTTATTAGTACAATCTTCCGTAACAAATTTCATATTCAATCAAAATTAATTATCTGACCAAACTTGTGGACCCCAAGGCAAGTTGCTGGAAAGTCTCAAATTGATATTAACACATGGATTACAGACCCGCCCTGGTCTATTCAAGCTTAAAGATCACAAATCTTTGTGTCCCACATAATGATAGTAATAATAATACTTAATTGATATAATAAGGTCATGCAATGCAAAAATAAAACCTCATCATGCACATTGCTGCAAAAATGGATACAAATTAAATTGGTAGTACATATTTTAATATATTTCTTTTTTTCCTGTGTACAAAACATTAGTGTGACCTTATCCCAAGACTCACGGGTAATTCACTAATAGGAATTTAGCAACGCACAATAACCATGAGTTAGAGTTACCACTTAATTAATATGTAATTCTATCTTTGACCATACCTTGCTTGGACCATGAATCAATTTAGTTTGACCATCCTACTCCATTTCCTGACATATAAATGGAAGTTGGAGTATAGTTTGATATGATTAAAGACGATTTCAAAATTCTAAATCAGTGTACGTAATACACTATTACCAATTTTTTTTTTCCCATACAATAGCTATACCTTATTCTCAAATAGGTTGGAATTGACTATATTGATTTTTACTTTTCCATTTAAATGTGAATTTAATATAAACATGTTTTGTTTGAATTTTTTATAATATATATATCTATTTAATTCAAATATAATGCAATGGGCAGATTATGCGCGGTGTGTCAATGGCGGAGCAACAACCAAGGATGGAGATTCAATTGAATCTCTTTCATTAAAAAAATCATACGGTACTACTAATAGCATATAAAAGTAAAAAAAAAAGTATGTATATAAAAAATTTAAATTCCTTTTATTTGAATATTTGACTCCGTCACTCGGTCTAATATCCTCACTGGCTGCCGAAAGCTACATCCGCCCTTGGTTCACATGGCACGTTACAGTCATTCTTTGATTATTCGTGTTTATAGTATGTGTTATTTTTTAGTCAGATTAGAATAATGTTTGTGGCAGATAGAGCAGGTCGGAAAAACTGAAATATGTTCACACCATATTTCTCTGCTTTTGGTAATTAATCATAACACAATGTACTACTAGTAGCTAGTAGTATATCAATTTTTCAAGAGGCAAGAATTATTATTTTTAAAAAAAATAAAATAAGAAGAATTCAAAATTTTGCTCTTTCCAAAACTTTATACTGTTAGTTTCCACTTTATACAACCCTACAAGCACCTAATTGAGAATCTCTTTTGTTGAAGCTTCAAGCCTTCATCAATCAAACCCAAAATCAAAGAACACAGCCAGCAAAACTGAAAGTTCTTTTTTTTAATCAGAGATTCCACTGTCTGGAAATTTTTTGTATCTTTCAATCTGAATTCCAGACTCCTTCCTTCCTTCCTTTCTTCTCCATTAACACACCTGCATTTCCTATATAAAATTCATATTTTGTTAGGTGCACAACACAACAAATTTCAGATCCAATACAATTAGTAATAAAAAATAAAGATTTTTGAAATTTGTGACCAGTGGCAGAGCTAGAGAGGCCACAAATCACACTACATAAATAAGGTCAAAGAAAATACTGACTCCGCCAACAAACTAGGATTGAAAAAACAGAGGATTGAGATAACAAACTAATCAAGAATGGATTTTTTAACAGAGTAACATAAATACCTTGAGGATTACAAATAGGTGGTTCTTCAAATAGAGAAAGGGACATTTGTTTATGAGCAAGACCAATATCAAACAAGATGAGACCAGAAGAAGGATCATAAACTATGATATCTTTAACTGGTAACCAAAGAAAAAGTTCTTCTTGAGAAAGACCCTCAACTCCAATTAAACCACCATAGCTAAGATTAGCTCTTACAACACTATCAAAAAACACCCTTGTTTCAAATTTTGCAACACATGGACTATCCAAGTAGACTTGTAAGTGGCCATTTTCATCAAGATCATATGATTTTACAGCATTTTTTGGGAATAGACCGGCTGGGAGTCCCCTGCTTCTGAGAAGGTCATGGATTGAAGTTGAAGAAATGGTGAAAGAGAAGAGGAAGATGGATAGAAAAAGTGTATATATCTTGAAGAGGTTAGCCATGGAAAAATTAGGCTATTTGTGAAAATTGGTTCAAAGAGAGTGATGAAAAAAGGGACGATTTTAACAAGGTTTATGGTGTGAGGAAGTGGGCCATAAACTCAATTATGTGTGGTAAATTTCCTATTTTACCCTTTTTAATAATTCAAGATTTTGTCCCTACATATGTTTTGTGTTTTGTTAAAGGATTTAAAACTCAAATCATTTACCAAAATATCTTCTTGGTCACAATGCTTTGGTCATTCATTAGTAGTGAGTATCACTATTGAAGCAAAGGTTTTCTCCACCGCAAATTATTAGGATTTTGTTCTATACAATATGATTTTTTCACCAAATCAGCTCGCGGAAAAATACATGGTAGAAAACAATTTTTCACTTAAATGATAGAAAAGTTTTTTATTTTTCCGTATAAAAACATTACTGTTATTTTTTCTTTTATGACCGATTCAATCAAATCAGTAGAAATAGTCATTAAACATTTTTTAGTGGAAAAATAATAATTTTTTAGCGGTGCATGTACTTCAAATTAAGGATATATTGAATTTTATGGTGTTTATATTGTATTAAGCATCCGGCTCAATGGAATTGCATTTTTGTTAATTAAATGCATTGCTAAACTGAAAACTTTGAATTCATTATCGATGTAATTTTTACAATCTAGTGCATTGATAAATAGATAATTGAGTTATTTTTATACGGTAATAAATCAAATAGTAAAATAGAAATTCTCCGCTCTAACCAAGTTTAGAGTTCCAATACAACAAATTTTCTTTTATCCAAAAAAAAAAAAGTTCGACAAATATATTGAGTTTGTGTTGAACCATTTCAAATTGATATGTATATGTTCTTCCAAAAGAGTCAAGTCATGTATTTGAGGGTGGGAGGAATACAAGTATATCATAATCTTGTGAGGTACAGACTATGGTCATTTTGGGTGAATAATAATGCAAGTGGAGTTGGAATTTTGTGAAAAGGGAAAATGAAAGTGAGATGGGGCCAACCAATGTACATAATTAGGGTGAAGGGTAGAAAAGGTAATGTATAAGTATTTATTATAAGAAGACAGAAGTATATGAGACACCAGACAGACAATTGGCTTAGGATTAAAGGTTAGTAATGGTTCATAGTGATATCCAATCATGGCAGAAAGAGAAGCAGCCACAAGCAGTAAGTTAGAAACTGATATATGTTCTTTTCATACAAAATCTCTTTTGACGGAAACTACGAGGTTTCACCTACTTTGAATCTCTCTTTTAATTCTTACTCTCTTTAAACTTTCGTTTCATAATATATAAATAGTATCATTTAGTTTATCTTCGGCTGATATCTATGTCATCTATTTAGTTGTATGCAAATAGATACTTAAAATTAAATAAGTAGACGTATTATTCTACATGACATAATACATGTAGAATGACACATAAGATACAAAATTGTCATGTAG